TAACATCCCACCATGTTCATCAGAAGACAGACATTTCTTGTGGCCTCCTTAAGAATCAGTTCTTGATCAGAGGGCTCCTAGGCTGACCAGTTTAAGATCTCATGGACTCCACCAGCTTGACATTTTCCCCAGTTTTGTTACTGTTTGAAATTCTGTGGAACTACAGAACACTGCTGGTAGCTGAATTCACCTCCTCCAACTGTAGGCAATTATTCAGGCATCTGGTTCTGAGTTAGTTGTCCAGATTCTACAATCAGTAGAAAGAAGCATGTTTTAATAGTGTGTTATTCTCTCGTTACACTGTACGTTTCTACTCTATAGCATGATTTATCTGACAATGTAAGTGCTATTTCTTCCTGCTAATTATTAAAAAAGCCTGCTGTATCTAAGTTATTAGATGCCTAAAAATAGGGGGAAAAAATGTAGCTGCTATGTGTTATGCATCAGTTTTCAGAAAGAAACACTTTTGAAATTTCCGGTTTGTGTTCAGTATTTGAAAAATTGGCTTGTGGTCCAAATGAATGAAAACAGATTTCTGAACACCCTAATTATTCACAAGTCAGGAATCATGCATTTGTATCAAGTGAGAACTGGCTTTTAGAAAAATCCATCACTGCGATGTCACCAGAATTCTAGGAGGATAATTTTTCCTGCAAGTTGGAAGGTCATTTACCTAAATACAATAATTTTAAGCCTTTTAACAGCAATAGCTAGAAATTAGTGTAAGTTCAGAAAAACTATCTGAGAAATGAGGAAAGCAGCATATAAGAAGAAACATATTATATTATATTATATTATATTATATTATATTTATTATATTGTATTATATTTAAGGCCAGACTACATGAGGCTCTGGGCAGCCTGATCTAGTGTGAGGTGTCCCTGCTCATTGCAGAGGGGTTGGAACTGGGTGATCCTTGTGGTCCCTTCCAACCCTGTCAGATTCTGATTCAGATTCTGGTTTTGCAGAGGACTTAGTAGTGTTGGCTTGATGGTTGGACTTGATGATCTTGGAGGTCTCTTCCAATCTAAAGGATTCTATGATTCCATATTTAGCCTTTCTAAAGACAACTGAAAACAATAGTTTAACTTGCTCTGCTTGTATGTCCATAATGGAATGAAAAAATAATGTATACAAGGAGGCTTTTATTTTCGTGTAAGAAGATATAACAAAAGTTTTAGAGAAGAGATCAGGTAAATTCAGGTGATAAATTAGGGCCACATTCTTACAAGTATAGTGATATACCATTGATACAAACTGTCAAACACAGCAGAAGCAACTTCTCTCTGTGTCCCCATCTCAGGACTAGAATTCTGGTTATTATCTAACCAAGAACAAGCTGTGGTTTTATTAATTATAAATATCTCATCAAGAGGTGAAATGTAATGGAATATAACAGCAAAGTATTCAGACTCCACACGATCTAGGACAGTATTCAGACTCCACAATGATCTAAGACAGATGTACGCTGCAAAATAACACTCAACAGAAAAACTCAAACTAGCAGAAATCCATTCTAGCCTTCAGGCCTACAAACCTACGACTTACTGTTTGCATTATGTTATTCTATATTGTTTCCTATGTGACTACCTTATTTGATTGACCTGCTCCTGCTTGGTAAGGAGAGCACGGTGCCATGTCACAATTTGGCTGTTGGTAAAGCGGTCTTAACAGAACCCTCTCTATCTCAAACCCTGTATTTGCCAGATCACTTCCATTTTATCACGTTTCTCGGTTTTTCTATTTTCTTTTCAAGTGGGTCTACACTGTAAAGCAGCTTAGCAAAAAGACTGATTAAAAATATGCTCCTTCCTCCCTCGTTGTAAAGACAACTTATTTTGATCTTTGAGTCAGCAACAGGAGAAGATTGTTTTACAGTGTGTTACACTTGAAGCCTGAAATATTGCCTATGTGAATATTGGAAGCTTCAATCATCAATGTATAACATGATGTATTTCTTGATTACTCATGAACTATTATATTTTCCATTCACTTATCATCTTTATATTATGATGAATGACATTACCAGACCTAAACTTTGCTGTAATTTTATTAGTAACAGACAAAACATTCATTACGCAGATTAGGGTGAGGGTACTGTTTTTCTTCTTTAATTATTGAAATGTTATTACTCATAAGAACAAGCAACAGAAAACCAGTGTGCTAACTGATGACAATAAGACACTACAAATGGTAAAAAACGGTAATTCCCTACAGAAATATACTACAAGGTTAAATGCTTCCGTTTGAGACTGTTTGAACTGTTTTTGTAGAATGAGATAGTTCACAGAGTACATTGATAGGAGATTCAGTATTACCTATATAATTTATGAGGATGGCTTTGAGTATCAAAGTCTTCAGAGTATCACTAAGTGTAGTGCACAACTTCCTTATCACAGGATTAGATCACAGACTCTCTGCTATCCAAGCATCACATCCAGGTAGGGCTTTTCTCTGCCCTAACTCAATATAACCCACTGTGAAATCAATGAGACTACTACTGTTGACCTTAACAGGACTCAGACTGGAGTGAAAAAAAAAAACAGAGATGGGAAAATATTGATTAATCAAGGCCTTTTACCCAGATGGACTATGCTACTACAAAAGGTATCACAGTCGAAATGGTTTCTTCCACTTCACTGTGCTAGTCTGTATGTAATCAGTTAGCAGTGAATATCGTTTTTATTCCAGTGCAAAATTTATTTTTTATCTAACAAACCTATTGGAGAAGTTTATGTGATTATTCTTTGTTCTATAGACTTCTGTAGCTGCATTCTTAGATACCCTACTATTACAGAAACCAAAAAAAAACCTTCTTTTCCTGCTCATGTCACTCCAGAAGTACTGTGTTCTCTGTGTTCTTGAAAGGATACTGAATTGAACAGTCAAAGAATGGACCTCATTCTGATTCAAGCCATTATTCAAATAGAAATTTGTTTCACACAGAACTGATAATATGTACTGTCCCTATTTTATAGAAGGAAAAGCTCAATTAGAGTTTAGAAATGAGTTATTAATAAGAGGTGAAATATGATTAAGATAGCTTTCCATTTTTGCATATGTAATACCAGACAAATGTCAGCTCCACTTTCACGCTAAAGAAAATAAATAGAAATGTATGTATTGCAGTTTTCTCAAAATATAATTATTTTTTTTTATGAGAAACAAGTAATTTCCTAGAGTGCTAATTGCCACGTATTTTCTTACAGAGGAAAGAAAAAGGAAATTTCTAAAAGAAAATTCCACAAAAACTTAAGACAGTTTAATATTGTTCTTCACTCCAGCTTCATTTCTTTTTTTCTTTAAATATCATTTAAGAGCTATCATACTTTAGTAAGGTCCCTTCAGTTTTCTACAATAAAATAGACTTGTCCAGATGTTGCATTAAATCATTAAAGGAAAGTAAACTCAGATGAACGAATTAGGTTCTTGTCACATGGAGAAAAAATACAAGCGTCATATTGGATTGTTTCAACAGAGGTCTAGCATGTCACAAATGGGAAGAAAATCCCCCTCTTTACAGATCTAGACTCATTCTTCCTTTTAGCATCATACTTCGAAAAAAATATGGTTACCACCTTGAAACGCACCAGTAAAGATCTTCTGAAAACAATGAAACATCTAAAACGTCTGAGCTACACAACAAATCTGGTTGAGCCAGGCTAAAAGAAGGCCAAAGAGGAACTTGAAAATAGGTTTCTACTATGTCCAACACTGCTGCAAAGGAAGAAAATGATAATTCTCTTTAGCCTTGGTGTATAAGGGGAGGTAATGGGCTTGTACTGCAGAATGAAAGATTCAGGTCAGGCACAAGGAGGAAAAGATTATTTTCAGACTTGTGGTTTCAGAAGTCAATAAAAATAGGCATATGGGTTCCTGTAACAAAAGATATAGGCTTAGTGGATACTGTCTTAGGACAGAAAATGGACAAAGAGATTTCAAGATGGTTTCTGTTTTTACTGGGCCATTAGAGACATGCATCAGTTCACTAAAAAGAGTATGCTGTCTTTCACATGAATAATAGAAGGCCTTTACTCTGAGCAGTTTTTCTGATTTCATTAAAACAGAGGAAAAAAAAAAAAAAAAAGGTGCTTATTTTCTTTCAATTTGCTAGTCCCAAAACACAAAGTGTCCTGATACAAGCTAGCCCTAAAATGTATGCTGAAATTCCTCCCTGTTCAGGACACCTTGCACACAGGGCTCAAACACACTGTTGCTATTTTGAATCAAAGACCTGAATCTGTTCTGCTTCCTGAAACATGACCATTAATGCCCAACATAAGCTTTTTCAATTAAGCACAACTCATTATATTGTTATCCCCTGTCTGAAAAACATGTATATTATGCAGGCTACCTTTCTTATCTATGTGGTTCTTGCCATCTGCTGGCAGATATTTTATGTTGTCAGTTAAAAATGAACAAATTACTTGAAGTTAATGAAAAATAATTTTTTAAAATGTTAAAAGCTGTATTAATAATAAGCCTATATAATATGCAAATATTGAGTATTAATCCTGTGTATCAAAAAGTTTCTGAAATTTTATTTAACCAATCTTAAGATAAATGCATTTCTCAAATACAAACTTATCACAGTACTTTTTCTATATTACCAAAGCAATCTTTATAACATTGCATCCAATCACTAGAAGAAATTCTACAGATGACAGACCAGTAACTTCACCTACAGATAAAATGTAGTCATAGAATCCCAGACAAGGAATATTGTACGGAAGAGATGGCCTTGCTGGGGTTGCCTTTTCATGTACTAGAGATGTTGAATGAGTTCAGCTCATATGGAATAAGAAAACTGCACAAAAGTGGAATTGAAAATACCAAACAACATCTGGATGTTGAGCTTTATTAACCTTCAGGTTTAAGTGCATGGATTTTAAGAACTGTTGCATATATGGATAGGCTCTCTTTTCAGGAGCATTTAAACAGCAAAGGAGCACCCTTGCTAACATTTCACATTATTTGCATGCAAGAGTAATTCACATACCTGGCTTTAATGTTTTGATTGCCACAGGGGTGGTATTATTCCACAGTCCTTCCCATACCTCACCAAACTGACCAGATCCTAATTTTTTCAACAGTTTCAGAGACTGTCGGTCTATCTCCCACTGATCAACAGTTTTATAGGACAAATCAAAAGTAGTAGGAGTTTGTACCTGGTAAAAGAAAATTAAAAGTACAGTAATTGAGACTTCTAATCTTTTTTCAACAACATATAGAAGTTATTGTTAACTATGGCATATGAAGTTGCAACTGACATAAATAATGTTTCCTTAGAGTACACACATACACAGATAAAATGAGCTGAGAACATAAAATACAGCCCAAATACTGGGCACTTTTTGTTATAAATAAATAGTCTGAAGAAAATATCCTGCCATTAAAAATAAAAATTAGAAATCATCCCCCTAGCAAGCTTCTTGAACAATGACGTATTGCTTGCCTGAACCTTGTGGTTTTGTCTCAATAATTACTTATGGACAGCTAGAGTTATGAAGTTGGAGATTTCATCTTCATATCCATTTATAAAAAGGTATTCATAAATCATGATTCGGCATATTTTCTCCTCCAGCCACCCCATGATTTGTTCTAAATGGCGTGGTATTTTATTATAAACATGTCAGTGTCAAGAATGAGACTGTAGCATTGCACAGAACTTCCTGAAAATCATAGAATCATAGAATGCTTTGAGTTGGAAGGCACCTCCAAAGTTCAGCTAGTCCAACCGCCCTGCAGTAAGCAGGGACATCCCCAGCTAGATCAGATTGCTCAAAATAAGCTGGTCATCAACATTTCAAAATTATAGAAGCAGATATGGGGTCAACACCTTCTGACTGTTACCTGATGAGCTAGCTTACAAAAACTACATTGCACAGTGTAGCATTTACTCCTACCTTTAGGCATGGCTTTCCAAGCACCATGCAGAGGCCATCACTGTTCTTACTGTAATAGTCAACAAGCTCATTCAGAGTTTTGAAAGTTTTCCTTCTGCTCAGGAAAAAGCCTCCTTCATCCAGCTTTCTGATCCTGTAGTGCTTCACAGATACACCATCAAAAACTAAGAAGATTTAAATATGTTAGGTTTCCAGGAATTATAGCAGTGGTGCGCTATAACATTTGGCCAAAGCATCATAAGTTTCCTAAACATATTTATGAAGATCTTAAAATAAATTATTTTAGTTTCAAAGATGACAACTGTAAAAAATCTCTTTCAAACCAAATCCCACTGTTTAGATAACTTAATATATCAGCATCAACCATTCAGGTTGAGAGACTCTTGCTTGTACTGTAAGAACTGATAAAAAAATACATAAATACATCTTCTGTGAGGCAGCTCATATTTCTAATCTTTTAGAACACCAAAACCAGCCAGGAGCATCCAAATTCATAGTAATCATTTAATCATTTTTTTAACTTTACGTTTATCAGTGTTATTCCAAATAGCAGCTGCTAGGCTGGCAGGCATTTTAGAGCAAACAGAAACACCCTCCACATGGCCATTATTCTCTGAAAAGCACTCACATCTTCCAGGGGTTTTATTGAGTTTTGTGCCTGTTTGGAATATATAAAAATCAGGCCAATAATGCTCTTTTTCAAGTCAACACAACTTTCTCATCTCCTGTAGTTTATTTACCTGTCTGTCTTGACATCCAAAGTGCCCTTCTCTCTGACTGTTGATACCTTTTAGAGGTATCAGAAAGAAAGCTGAGCCACTGCATGCTGAGGCTAGATCTGGACCAGTGGCAAAGAGGTGGACAAAAATACACTGTCACTCATCTAGTGAATTATTTCAGGAATATTACATTTGTAGTTGCCATTTCTGATGCCTCTGTCATATATGGCTTAGAGCAGTGGTCTCCAAAGCAGAGTGTGTGCAAACCAGTGAGTGCACAAGACAATTAATTGTGGAGTATGAAAAAAGTATTTTTTGTATCATTAAAAAAATAAAGTAAAATAAAAAAAAATTTAAATACTATTTCATCTTTATTTCATCCTTTTTTAGTTTTTCTCTGTGTGTGTGCACATATGTATGTTCTATAATGTACATAAGCAGTACAGGAGCACATGTATATAACTTATAATTAAACAAATAAACATATATTGAGAGTGAATGCTAAATAAACATTTTACTGGTAAGGGTTCACAATCAAATAATCTCTTATATAAAGGAATATCAGTAGTAGCAATGACAGGCTGAGTGTCAACAGAGAGGAGAGTTCTGAAGAGCTGGAAAGGGATTTAGTCACTTATATGGGGTGTCATTTAGCATGACACTCCATGACTGAGACATCAATGTCCATTTTTCAACAGGCAATAGAGAGTTTCTGTTACGTACTGAAGGGTGACTGATCTAGCTCCTATCAATGCCATGGCTGTTAGCTCTAGTATTGTTCCCCAACAAAACTAACTGGTAATGAGGAATCATGACCATATAAACCATAATTTAAGAGGGACAATGTTCAAGCAGTAGGATAATTTCTCTAGCATTCTCTAGCAGGAGATACATGCATCAGTGGAAGGTTTTCTAGTCCTAGGAATTTCAGATGAAAAAGTGCTCAATGCTCAAGGAATAGTATCATGCTGTAATGAGCTTAATTGAGAGACAAGTATTTGGAAGCATGGACAGGGTTTTTTTGCCACTTGTTACAGCTGGTGGGGAACAAGGTAAAGGGACACAGGCTGCTCAGTTAGGGTGGGGGTCAGCAAGATTGAGAAGTGAGACAAAAAGGAGAATGGGAATCAGCTAGCAAGTCTGAGGAATGGCCAGGAGAAGAAACACTGGGGCAGAACTCAATGTGAAGGACTACATTTTGGGAAAAGACAAGTAGCAATAGTTTTTAAAAATGGGGAGAAAAATTGGAGGGGTGTCCCACCCTGCACTTGATGAAATAACACTGTGCTTTCCCATGATGATTGGAGAAAGAGCTCTCAAGGGGAGGAGGATGCTCCAGTTGCCATCCTTGTCCTCATCACTCAGAATTACACCTTTCCAATAGGCCAGGTGGCTTTTTCTACACCCATCAATTTGAGAGACTCCCTCGTAAAAGACAAAAGTCTGAAAAGCAAAAGGGAGGTATAGGGAAAAAGTCTTCTGCTGTTTACCCCCACTATACTTCTAAGTAGAGAAAATTCCAGCAAACATTCAATTTGGTCATGTTGACTAGTGGGTACTCTTGGTCAGATAATTTAATGGAAATATTTTTCAGTTGTAGAAGCAGCTTCATTTAGGTACTTTCAAAAACCTTATTATTAAAAAAATTGTTATGGCTTTCCTCCAGAGGTACTGTAGCTGATAGATCATTCTACCGTAACACCACATGAATTTTGGGAGTCACTTTGGTTATGAATACACAGCTATGTATTGTGTGTAGAAAAGAATTATAGAAAATTAATGGTTGCATGTAATTAACAAAGCTGAAATAAAATATATATATTTTTATCACCATTTAAATGATTGAGTTAAAAAGGAAAATTCCTCCTTACTTAAGTACCATGATGCTTGATCAAATATTTTTATACCTTACTGTGTGATTGTGATTCCAGGCCACGAGAGGGCATAGAGGAGCTGTTTAAAATACTGGGGAATTCTATATCTGCCACAGGTAGTATTTTTATAGACCTGAGAACTTACAATTCTGCATAGGGACCAGAAATAAGAATATTTGTAAGTATAACTCAAGACTATAAAGATAATTACATCATACTTTTCAAAGGCCATTTCTTTCTAACTTAATAACCATAATTAGTAATTTTTAATTATAAAAAGTATGCATATTTTTGTGATGCATCATATGGAAATGGGGCTGAAGCAAAACAAAGGAAAGAGTAATTCAGTAGCAACAGACTGAAAATGTAACGACATTTCCAAAGTTCAGAGGGAAGTGTATCTGCTCAAATGAATGGCTATTTATGATGCATTGAATAAAAGGTCAGCAGTATATACCTCAGCTGTATATCACAAGCGATGGTAGTTTGAGTACCTGCTTTAGTTATTTGCAGTATTATATTAATTACTTGTGAAGCAGCTAATGTTAATGCAAGAGTTTATCTAATTTCTTAAATGATCCTTGTTTGAAGCCTTATGATTGCCAGTATCTAGGTCAGGCGATGATGTGTGTGAAGAAGCTGGAGAAAATTTCTGTGCTGATAGTGTCTCTTCTTGTGATAAACAGCTGAGATTACTGCAGTATTTGACAGAAGGCTGTTTGCTTGTATCCCAGGGATGAGTCCAGCAGGACAAGTTCTGCACTGCACACTCCCAGTGCTGCAGAATGATGGAGGTCCTCTGTCCAGCATGACACAGAGCACATGTCACTCAAGAAAGGGCTAACCATAACCCCCCTCAATGTTTCCAGTGATCCTTGTATCCACACCGGCCTGTTAAACAGGACGAGGTTACAACTTCATCTTCATACAGCTTGACAGCAATTGCATTTGAAGACTGTGGGGTTTTTATCCACAGTGGGTTTTTTTCCTCATCTTGCCCTTCCCAAAAGAATCACAGCTCCCCATTAGACTCCTTCATGCTTTCAGTTTAACAGGAGCATTCTCCTCTCCCTGCTTCCCATCTTCGTAAGACTGGGCTCTGCAGAAGTAGACTTTGACACACAATGACAAGAATAAATGATGTACTACTACTCCTTCCCCAGGGCAGCAAAATTTATGATGGCATCAGAAGAATCAACACCTTCACTGAATGAATCATGGAGACACTAGGGCAGCATCACTTCCAGTGTTCCAGCCTCTCTCCAGTCAGCAGTCCTCCCCCAGCACTGGCAGTGCAGAGCTGCTGGCAGGAGCCGTGCTCGGTCTCCACGTCCAGAGTGGATGTGGGAGGAGGGTGGGCAATGAGATCATCCTCACCAGCACAGAATGGGCACTGGGGCTGAGCTGAAATTGAACTCCTGCTGTGGCCATGATTTTGCCACTCCTCTCAATGTGTTGCCTTGAACAATTGCCTGTTTTTCCTTACTGAAAGCAAATCTGGCCTAGAGGAAGCAACACAATCTTTTTTAGGAGCATGGAAAAATATGGAAGAAAATACAAACCATTTACATTGTCATTTAATGCAATCAGTCTTTCAGATACCATTATTCAGTGACGGGGGAAGTAGAGAGCCTCCTGCTATCATTGGCAATGACACTCAATTAAGCTGAGCACATCTAAATTATGGCTTTTAATTAAAAAGAGGCAATGCCTAAGATGGCACCAACATGTTTAAAATTTAATACATTTCACACCAGATGCTGGAGTCATCAACATAAAAATCTGTCAACAACATGTGCATTTTTAAAATGGGAAAATCTATTTTTAAAATGTCAGACACTTTAAAATGATAGCAACCCATCTCAGTGGCCTATCTGATTTGATGAGCTTTCCATTTAACCATTCAGTGATGAGAAAAAACCTTTTTGAACAAGACTTTTTCTTTTTAATTTAACTATTATTAAATTTATCAAATTTAGATTTATCATCTAAATCTTGCAAATTGTGAGTTATCCTATCAAGTCAAGTTAGAAATGGAAAGTGTCCTTTAATGAAAGGTAAATTTGTTTGCTTTTCTTTTTTTCTTTTTCTCTTTCTTTTTCTTTTTCTTTTTCTTTTTCTTTTTCTTTTTCTTTTTCTTTTTCTTTTTCTTTTTCTTTTTCTTTTTCTTTTTCTTTTTCTTTTTCTCTTTTTCTTCTTCTTTTTCATTTTCTTTTACTTTTCCTTTTCCTTTTCCTTTTTTCTTTTCCTTTTCCTTTTTCAAGGAGATTCTTGTCTCCCTCATTAACACTGAATCTCATACATTACCCATATGAGTATGAAATCAAGTATGAAAGTCACAAAATAAGTTTATGGTTGCTTGGGTAAAAAAAAAAAAAATCTCTTCTACTTCTTTTCTTTTTTAGCTTCATTACAGTTAAATGCTAGGCTGGACAGAGAATTACAATATTTTCTTAAAAACCTTAATTCTAAAAGCCAGGTTTTCACTATTTTAGCCATTAATCATGTACTCTGGAATGAAACCCAAACAACAATAGAAGGTCGAGCAAACCCAACCAGTCCTACAGAAGATGGGATTTTGGGGTCTATTCTTTCTGCACTGGAAAAAATGGAACCAGAAATTAAAGGTATATTCTAAAATAAAAGGTTGTGACTTCACTCCGGTCAGTGTATCAGTTACCATGGAGATAGAAACCATCCAAGACCTTTTAGAAAGAACTGTTCTGAACCACTATTCCTCAAGAAAACACTGCTTTTGTGCCTCAGCTTTGAGTGTCTCATAAGTCCTTCTGTTGGAACAAAGAGGTGGGAGTCAGAAAAACTGCCTTCTCCATAGCATCTGGTGAAATAAACAACCTTCCTTTCAACTAATACTCCTCACATTACAATCTGCTTCATCGTTTGCTTTAGAATGCACTAGCTCTCCCAAAAGTAGACATAAGTAATGAGATTATGGGCATACAATGTCTAGATCATTATGTATGCTATTAGATTGGAAGCAAGGCTTGCACAACACAGATGCCATTCAGTAAGCAGCAAATAATATTTAGCTCTTCTGGATGAAGTAGCATGTCAAGGTTAAATTATGTTCAGGTCTGGGAAGCTGCTAAAAGATCTAGCAGTACTAGTAAATCAGATCATTAATCTTGTCCACAGAGTGCTTCAGAGTATTCTCTTTCTTTGCCTAAAAGAACACAAATGTTTCTTGAATCTGATAGTATACGTATGTGCACACATATATGCCCAGAGGACACCCTGTATTTGTGTATGAAGGAGGGCTGGCTCCTCTGGCTGGAGCCTTGCTTCCCTGGATATTATGTTCTTCGGCGCCACTCTTTCCTTCCTTCATCAAACCGGCATGGAAGAAACGTTGGCTTTATACACTGATGGTCTTATATCTTGCTGTTATGAGCCATCATCCAATCTCCTGTTCCCAAATAAACTTATACAGAAACCTGAAAGATGACTGCCACAAGCTTTTATAATTGAATCAAATATACTAAATCAGATAGAATATATTTTCTATCCACTATTTGTAAAGAAAAAAATTAAATAGCAGCATCAAAGGATGATCTCATCCTCCCACAGATGCTGTCCTAATATTCATTTTCACTCCCTTGGATTTTTGCTCTGCAGTACTTCAAAGTTTAAATAAGGTACTGCTTCCTTCCTGTTAGAGTAGACATGAATTTACTTTATAATCTTGGGTAAAGAATTAAGATTTTTAATCTTTCCTATAAGGCTACAGGTGGAGAATAAAAAGAAATCACATTTCCAGCACTAGGTGCACAAGCACAAAACGTTTTCATTGATTTTTAGTAAGGTATCATATACTCAAGTGCCAGCATTGAACAGATAACACAGACCTATCTATCCTTCCTTGCATAACACCACACTGTTATCAGTCTAGCCCAGCCCTTGGATGAAATCAGTTCACTGATGAAAAGCACCCACAGGAAGCTGAAATTGTGTAAGATGGGGATAAGTTGGGATAAGCTATATTACAGTCTTTGGATAAAAGGTTTCACACCAAGGGGTCAGTTCTGTCACACTCTGGGAGCAGTCTGATTCCTTGCTGATGTTAAAATGATGTATATTTCTTACCAGCACTTCTTGGCAAGAACAAACTTCCTTGAGGTCGAACTGAAGTCTACGGAATGAACTCTCTCAGAACTGTAAATATCATATTTATTTCATAAACTTCCCTGTATTTCACAACATGGTGAACATGTATTTCTTTGCCTTGGCAACAAAAAGTAACATTCTCATTACTGTAAGACATTGCAGGTATATGCCCTTTCCTCATTATTTGGAAAAAGAAACCAAGAATGTGTCAAAAGTTCATTAAACTGCTTAATATCTTTCTGTGTAATGCTCAGGTGACTGACACACAAACATCCAGGCAGAAAAGGAGTCAATATGAGAGAATCTGGTTGTGCACAAGGTGCTTCTCATTTTACTGACATAATGCTGCAAGTGACAATTTATGGTTTATTCATAAACATCAAGAGTCTTTACTGGCATGCAGAGTTGTACAGGTAGAGCATGTTAGAAAGTTTGAGTGTATAGACCTGTTGTCTCAATTATACTCTTGGTTCACACTTAGATCAGAAAATATTCACAGAAAACAACCACTAAACAATCATGTTTACTATCTAATATGGCAAACACCTATGACATGAAAAAGATAACAGGTACACATATGTGAGAAAGTAAAATTATTAATTGCCTATATTTCATAGTCTTTCAGATTCAAAAAAAGCTTTTAAAATAAATTTCGAGACCCATCACCATCATAAATCTGACTTTCCCTGAGGTTTATAACCAACTTTTTAATGAAATATGACTGATTCTAAAATGCAGCTTTGAGGATCTTCCAATCATTTTGCCCCTGAAAATAAATAAATATAAACCTAAGGGTGTGCTCTAGCAGGTATCTCATTTTCTTAAACTGCAGATAACTGCCAACATGGTTTAATTTTTATTTTCTATACTAATAAGAATAGTAATGTTCAACTATAATGTATTTTTTGGCATTTTAATCATGGAAATAGTTTCTATTTTAAGCCAGCTGGCACACAGGAAGTACTAAGCATAAGAAAGTTAATTTCTGTTCTAAGCATATTAATAAACAAAGCTTATAAAATAAACATTAGTAAAACTCGAATGACTCTTGACAAGTTTTCATTATATATCTCCTGGGAAATAAATATTATTATGAACTTAATTTCATTTTCATGCCCATAGTTTACCATTCTCAAAAACGAAAGAGTCCAGATCAGCTGAGAATTTTTTAAATAAATTGCTTAAGACAAAGAAATAAAATATACCTGAAAGTGAGCTTTCGCCTTTTAGACTTTCACTTTCTCGGATTAGGAAGGCTCCTGCCTGGTTTCCAGGGCATGACAGTTGTCTTTCGGCATCTGCTCGTTTGATTGGGCCAAAAAACCATCTGAACCAAAAAAACACATTAATTTTATTTGTCAGTGCAACATAACAGGAAGACAATTTAGTTTTTATAAACAAGTTGCATATTTACTAAAAGATAATCTCTGCTGTGGTAATTAAATTCCAATAGTATGTGGAAACAAAGCTAACAAGAACTACACAATAAATTTATTACTAGAAAATATTGCTTACATATTTGAGTGAGATCTGGATTTTACTGTTGATGTAAAGTCATACTGATTTCAAGGGAACAAGAATTCAGAAATGATGGACTGGTCTTGAACCAGGAAAAATTCACCTGAAAAATTTTGCTAAGGCTACTGTGGCAGAAATCAATGCCAAGTCCATTGATGTCACTTGAACTATGTAGAGGTGCAAGTACATGCTAATATTCTAACATCTTAAAAGTCAAAACATCCCCAAAACTGTAGAAGGGCTCTCAGGTTCCAAAACTACCCTGCAGCCTTCCCCAGTCCATGGCCACATCAATACCTCAGATGAGTTACTGCCAATTTTTAAGCTGTATTGCTGTTAGACCAACAAAAGCACTATGTCCCTTAAGTCACTGCAAACATCTCAACATCCATGTTCTGTGAAAATCCACTCTTATCTATGCCTTATAAAACATATTTTTCCCTTCTCCCTAAGCCCCGTAGTTTGCAAGGACTTGTTCAAGAAGTACTTTCAGTTTGCTCCTCGTAGGGTATTATTTAGCTCTTCTGTGGCATTGTGCTGAGTGTAAATTAAATGGAAACAAGACTGAGATGAGTCAGCATTTTCAACTGAGGCAGCATTCATTTTCCATCCAAGAAATATCCAAAGCTCTTTCCAAGATTAGTTCCACCCCTTATTTGAAGCAAATGGTGACAAATAGCTACCAGAAATGTGTCATAGATTCATAGGAGAAATGTTTTAAAATTAATCATAGCCAAACTTATTATGCAAACTCTTAAGATAAATAGATGTATCGCACCACATGTACATTGCCTACTCAGCTGACTACTTGATTTGTCAATTACTAGGGAAAAGTACAGGAGTCATCAACAAATGACTTTAGTATCTGTAAGGCTTGTAATCATCAAGAGGAATGGAGGAAATAAATGAGAACTTTGCCTGATACCTTGGGTGAGCATGCACGAGGAATGAAAATTGGTTTTGTATGAATAAAGAGGAAGTAAAAAAAGGCAAATACAGACGGCACTCATCCACACTGAGTATGCTGTGCTAACAAAAGAAAATTAAATCCAGATATTTCAGTCTGCATTCCTGTCCCCTGACTTGAAGATGATTTGGATAAAATAGGCATTGATACATATTTGGCAAGGAAAGGAAGCCAGAATGTGGTAGTAATAATTTTAATTAGTTAAATGTGTTCATTAATTCAACTCATTAATTAAATTAACTCATTAATTAGGCTGCAGAAAACTAAGTAATCAATAAATATTCAAATCCTTGAAGGAGGTTCTTGTCAAAGGAATGAGAGGACAGAGTAAAAGTTCAATTCTATTCATGTCTCAAAGAAATTTTGACTGCCCTAAAAAATGAATTAGAATCTTTCTGATATCTCTAAATACACCTGCTCTGAGAATAACATCTGAAAACTAACAAACTATATGACCTGAAAAAATCCCGAACTGATATTTTTTCTCCTTGAACTATAAGATATCACTTAGGAATGCCCAAAGTGACTGATTCTTACAAGAGCATATCAGGAGCTTAATGTTGTGTCTCCTTACTTCATGGGTTAAATGGTAGCATTCTTTCAAAAGGATTTAATTTTGTGTTAAAGCCAAAAGAGCCTCCAGTGCATTGTTAGCAAGGCTCTATTTTATGTTCAGGATAGTCAAAAGTCTTTACATGACCCAGTACTTGTACATACACTGCTAGTAACTCAAATTGCTAAAGCTGAAAACATGAGCAGTAATACAATGTATGCAACAAGAGGAAATTGATGGGTTTTTTGGGAAATACAATTTACAATAGCATTACACTTGCTTGTATAAAATAATGTCTACAATATAAACAATGATTTTGGAGAAAAAATACATAAGTGCATATTGTATTTAGGCATATGTATCAGTTCCTTTTTCAAAATATTTTGAACAACATGTTTATTTTTATTAGGTTGGGAAAACTTAATTTAAATCTATATGAATTTACCATTAAAGGTTATATGGAGGATGTGTAATATGTAGGTTCTGATTCCAGATAAACTGAGCAGTCAAAAAGATCCTGACTTGAAAATTAAGATAATTAGAGCAACAGTATTTAAGAAGGTAAATGTAAAGGAAGCAATTGTTATGGAGAGTGAAAAGTAGATACATATTGTATATTACCTCATTTGTGTAACTTTATATTATCTGATTAAGATATTTCAGAAAAATAGAATGAAAATTACTTTTAATAGCACTTGAATATGGGATTCTTAGTTCAAAGTCATTGGGTGTGCAATAATAATCATACAGTACCAGAAGCAATACTGGTTGTGAAAAAATAACCAAGCCCTTAACCTCAAAGCAAATAATTTTATTTTTTATTCACTTTTCTTAACAAAAGCACATCTGAATTTAAAGTGCTATTTTCATTATAAATGGAAACTTAAATTTCTTTTACAAAGCATGAAGGGCTTATTTCAATTTCTGCCAATTGAACTTGTGCTTCAAAAGGCTTAACATTTTACTTCATCCAAAAGTGTGTATCTTAGAGGGAAAAGTGCTCTGAAGAGTAATAATGAATCAAAGTAACTGCTGACTATGAGATATTGTTCTGTGGAAAGTCAGACCAAAACAACACCCAGTTCTTAGTAAATCTATTTGTGTTTTATAGCTCAAAGATAGATGAAGGTTTTGAAACAAAACACTTACAAAACCAGAACTAAATCATTAAGCACTATCCATTGTGTGAGTTACTTATCCAGCATTTTCTCTGGCTTCAGTGTGCTATATTGGCACTCAACAGCTGAGAAGAAGTTTGAATTAGTAATTCATACACAATGCCACTCTGAACTTCAGCTCACAGCCAGATCACTTTGGGTCACAATTGTCAGTGCAGGATCAGTAGCTTACCAAGTGTGGCACAAACCACATTCAGACTTGGGTGCAAGTTTCTATATCTATCAGGACCTGTCTGGTTAGCACAGCAATAGCACTTTTCTGTGAGTGAGACCCAGGAAGATGCTTTCTTGGCTAGCACTGTGTCCCACACCTGACTCCCTTTTCAGTGTAGGATGCCAGATCTGCTTTTGGGGGCTTGCTTCTAGCAGTTTCCTCAAAATCCCTTGTTTCCGCCATCACTCATAGCTCTCAGAAATCCCTCCATTAAACATTCCAGGCTACTTCCAGGTTATTTCTGGCCACCATATATAGGAAATATATATTTCTGGAAACAAAAAAGATGACCCTTATGTATTTCTGGAACAAATACCATCCTTACTTGGTGTAGATGATGTCCAATACTAGACTAACAGTGAAGTTTTTTGTGGTTATTCAGAGCATAGTAATCCCACCTCTATTTGCCATAAATTACACTGGCAGGTTTTGATCACAGGATCATCACAGATCACAGCAGGCTTTGTCATGGGATGTTGCCTTATCGTGACAGTATCAATGCTAAGACCAGTACTCCTATCCTGTGATCCTTTTCTTCCAGAAAAGGAAAGGATGCATATTCATCAAGCTGAGTGCTGCTGGTTATACTTGAAGGGCAATTTTTATAAGAAACAGATATAATGTCACCTGTGATCCCTCCTGCCACCCCATTCAGTCCAGCTTGAATTAAAATGGAAACATGAGTCCAACAGAAGTTGCTGGTGTTACCTGTCTCCATCACTGCCTTCGCTCAGAAACCCTCTCTCCTCCAGGGAGCAGTGCACTGCTGATTTCTGTCTAAATGTCAAAGCCTCATTTACCTGCCTCTGCTTTGTGTTTCTGGGTGTTTTCCTATGTAAAATTTGGTTAAAATAAAAATAGCTACTTCTGAATTTTTTTACTTCGAGCAGGAAGACGTGGCAGGAACTTTTAAGTTGGAGAGTAGATGAGAGGAAGAGTAACATGGGCCGAGGGGTTCTTGCATGCCACATGGCCACTGACAGAGAGGCAAAGTTCTGCAATGCTATACCAGTGGTAACGTTTCCAGTGCCTGGCATAGAAGACAAAAACCCATCGGAAAACCAAAATCCATTAATATCCCTGTCCAAAAAAAAGAGTATGCAAAATGAGTTTTCTTCCCTCTGTTCACTCTCACTAATGCAATATCCCCTTCTGATCACATCAGTGCAATCAAGTCATTCAACACAGAGACTGAAGATTTAATAGATCTCAACTAATCTGGGAACTACAGGCTCTTTTTCTCTCCTGAAATTAACTCTATCCAACACTCAGAGTTAAACCCAAACAAAAGAATTTCCAGCCACGGTCCAGATGAAAAAGCTAACATGGGAAGCATTTTTTTGGGCAACTTACCATTCCTTGGACCACCCTTTTACAGCCCACCTGCCTTCTACAGTGGAGGTGTAAGGGCCAAGTGCCATGGAGGAGAAACCCTTGGTACGGACCAAACACAGAAGTACTGAGCAGACAAACTTTTCTGCAGCCTAAATCTTTGCATGGCCACTGTGCCATCCCCCTCCAGCAAGAGTTCTAGTATTTTCCTTTCTATGAACCCAACCTCTTGCTTTTGCATTGGAGGAACCATAGCCAAAGGCCCTGAACCATGGTCCAGGTGGAATATTTGCTACTGGAGAGTCTTTTTGACAGCATGCCCTTTCCTTAGGCAGCCCCTTTGCAACCGTTCTCCAACAGAAACTCTAAAGTCATAAATAAGGACTCTTTGTGCATCCCCCTTTGGGATGTGGGTAAGATCCTCATCACCAAGCCAAACACCAACTCTGAATTAACAGCTATGATCTTTGGGGAGAAAAAATGCTGAGAAGGACTACATGGCAAGCTCATGGAAAGAGT